TTTTGACATGAGAAAGAACTGTTTTCGAATATATGATTTTAGGATACTTTTAATATGTGTATCTGGCATAGTAATAAAAACTAAACCTACATGTGTGTTGTCTAAGCATGATGTATGTGCGAATGCGAATCATTAAAAATATGTCATTAGAAGGAAGTGAGTAGGACAGACTTACATGTTGTGAATTGTTTCTATATTGTTACGTTCTGAGCTCCAGTTCATTAAGATGCCGATGTAACAGACTCTTGTTTGTGTTACAGCAAAATTTCGGTGACTTTAAATCCAAATAAATATGTAACAAATAAGAAAAATAGACGTTCGTGAGATACTTTGATAGACGTCACTGTTTGTTCTTGAAACGGAAAACAAAAATTGCTAAAAGAGCACTCTCGAAATAATCAAAATTATTATAATCATATGATAAATATCCCTGAGAAATATCATGCTATCTCACGGCATGCAGCGAAAAGAAATGTCTTGTAAATTCACTGTTTTCGCACGAGCATTGTAATTATTTCCAAAAAAATGATCTGTTTCCTTAATTGACATTTAGTAAAGCTAAATAGTATCCCCATACAAAATTATCTTCCATGTTTAATACTTGAAGATTCTATTAAGAATGTTATAATAACGAGACGAATCGACATGAGACGTATTGTATTGTGATACTAGATGATTCTAATCCAAATTGTCCTGTATACAGAAACTCCAAATTTATAGATGTTCAGAGTGTTATGATATGTAAGCTTCCCTGTGAAATGATCCATCATGCATCATTTTTTAAGGATATTATGAAGAATAAATAAGCACTGATAGAAAGTGCGAATTTTTAAGTACAATACAAAATTAGGTTTACATCGCACACACATACAAATATAAAACTTTGAACAGAAAATTAAATAACATGGAAATCTGTTTGATGCTTTCTAATTCAATACATGAAATTGTATTCTAACGAATGAAAGTATCGTATCATTTCATAATGAAATAAATGCTAATATTTCAGTTCAGTCATGCATGTTCCATATTCGTTTCTAAATGTATAAAGCAGGAATCATATTTACATTGCACATATACAAAGCACAGTATTATGTTTTAGCTGAATAATAAAAATATAATTAATAATATGTAATGAAGTGATAAATTTTTGCAGCACTGATGTTGAGAGAGAGAGAGAGAGAGAGAAACATATTTAAAAATGCAAGTATATATACAAAGCAGGTTAGTAAAATATGTTACAATTAACTAAAAAGAATAAACGTGACATTAAATAAGTAAAAGAATTTAGAGATTTAAGCATAATTAAATAAAATTTCAAGATTTTCACTTAACTGAGAAGATATAGAGCATTCGTATTTATACAACCCTATACTTTTTATAAAATATTCGTTAATAAGAATATAGATAAAAGCCATTAAATGCGCAGCGTGCAATAATAACGAAGCTAAATAATTATAATTATCTTATTTTTTCCAAAATGAATGATGAGGGAACAAGTAAATTAATGAAACGTACCTGTTGCTTCTTTTGATTTAATTTATTACGTTTAATAACGTCTTCTGAGGCGTTCAAAGCTTCTGCAGCAGCAGCTTCTAGTCTGCGACGCTGTTCATTTTCTTGATCCGCAGCCTGCAATGACATGCTTTACCTTGTAATATCTTGCCAAATACTTTAGCTTGTATTTCAATTTTTCTAAAGTTGAAAATGAACGCCAAAAAGCTAATTCTAAAGAGCTAAATGGTACCTTAAATGCCCTTGCGAATCTGACGAGAAGAGAGAAGAACGTATTAGCATCAGCTTGTCGGGGACTTTCACCGAAAAATTCAACGCATTCTCGGAATGCTTCCCCAGCAGTCCGAGCGTCGGATTTCAAACGACGCAACTTTTCTTCCGAATTATTCAAGAAATCTCGCAGCACGGTGTTGTGTTTCTCTTTGCCGCGCAGCTCAAATTCTTTTCTCACGAGGTCCATTCCCTTTTCCAATTCGTGAACGTCGGTAGTTATGTTCTCCAACGAGACTAGAAAGAGCGAAGAAAGCAAAATGATATGTAGAAACAATAAAATTTGGTATTTTCCGTGGGAAAGTTATAATTAATCAAGTCTGAGGGGAGATAATGAGCTCCAGCTTGCCAGAAGCGTAAGAAGTTTACTCAAAACTAGTTCTTCCTCTGTAGCTATTACAGTGATTTTTATTCAATGTATTAAATATGAAATAATTTTATGAATTAATGTTATTTAATATTACTGTATTAATTCCCTCGTGCATCTATCATACAATTAAAAATATTAATACAGCAATATTAAATAACATTAATTTATAAATGATGTTCGCAAATCTAAAATTCAAGATATCACTGTTATTCTATAATTAAGATATTAACATACGCACCGGTCGCAGCTTTGTCGATGTACATGAGCTCTGATTCGAAATTAATCAATTCCGGAAACTTGACTCGTATCGTTGCTACAATATAATGTAAAAGGCACATTCTCTTGTCCGTTGACTTCGTATCGAGTAATGTGTCTAAACTTTGAAGTTTGAACCCGTATGCCGGGCCTCGTTTACTACTGTTCAAGTAATTCCCAAAGGCAAGAATGATCTCTAATACTGCTCTTAGTTTCTTTGAACTCTTGACCGAACTCGAAGCGGATATCACAGCATGTATTTGCGGAGTAATAAGATGTAAATTGTCAAAAAAGTTCCCAATGTAATTCATAATGGACAGTTTCGTCGATATCCTCTCCACTTTGCCAAGCTGCATTAAAAACTTGTCTTCCTCCGTTAACAGATTAACGTTTTTCTTTTCTATGATGTACTCCCTGTATGCTTTTATCTGTAACATTAAATAAATTCTCGTGTACTACTATACTTATTAACAATATGATGTCCATATGAAAGCTATACAGAAAAAACATGACCAGTCAATAAGTTAATGATATATTTTTAAGAGTTGTAGAAGAAACCGTACTTCTTGATCCGTAGGTACCATACGTTGTAACAGTTCTACATTTTCCAGCGACAGTACTTTCAAATCGAGAGCATTTACAGCCATAATTACTTTCTCCACCGGCATTTCCATTTTCCTTCGCGATATGGCTACAATATAAGAACAGAAGGTCAAGCACATCCGATCTCTTAATCCATTAAAAAGAACATTACCATTCTACGTACCGATATTTCGCAGCCTGGTGTGTTCTAAAAGCGACACGTTCTCTGGTTTCTTGAACCGTTTGCTAGGGAAGCTTTGAAGGCCGTCGATTTCGTTATTACCATTGGCAACGTGACTTCCCATACCGATTTTAAATCGTTCCTCGAAATCAGAGAAGTCTATGTAATTGTGCAACCGGTCGTCGTCCAGCTCGTTGAAAATAGTACCCCGTACTTGATTCGGCTTCAGAGCGATCCAGTTCAGCGTTGGCAGTTTATATTTCGTTTGAACCTGAAATCATATCAGATTTGTCATTTTCGATTCAGAACAGAGTTGACACAAGAGAAACGTACTTTCCGTTTAATAGTCATCGCACCGTCCGGTGCTTGCATCATGCCAGCAGGCGGCGGAGGTATAGGTGCAGGCGGTGGTAACTTTTGATCGCCAGGGGAAAGAGGTGCCATTGGAGGCGGTGGTGGACACGGTGGTGGAGGTGGTGGAGGTGGCGCTGGGGCAGAGGGAGGAGGTTCTTCCAACGTCGGAGACGGGGTCGAATTAAGCGTAGAAGACGTGACGTTATCCGACGTACTGACAGGACTCGTTGCACATCCGTTTCGAAGATTGCCTGTACATACATTCGAACGATGACGTTTTATTAAATGTTTCGTGAGATAGAGAGGAGGAGCTCTTTGTTTCGTTACCTGAAGAGCCTTTCGTGAGAGTGCCAGTTAGCGTCTCCAGTTCTATTATTTTGTTCTCTAAAACGCTTTGCCTTCGTGCTGAATCCTGCTTTTGCCTCTTCAACGCGGTGAGCTCCTCCTCGGCCAGTCGGCGAGCCTCAACCGCATCGGCGTATTCCACTTTTAACGCGCCTAATTCAGTCTCTAGTTCCGCCAACTTTGCCAGCGATTCTCTCTCCAATTCCGCCATCCTGTCGTGCGCCTGTTACCGACGTATAAAATTTCGTTCAACGAACCGACCATTTAAATAAGTTTTCTGGGCTACTCACGTGACCAAGTTCATCTTCCAGTTCAGCTACTTTTTCTAACGCAGCAGTCTTAGTTTCGCTGTCTTCCATCAAGGCAGCTACGTCGAACACGTTATCCAGATACGCAGAGATTTGAACCTGGCAGAACATCGAGATCAAGATAATATCGCGTTCAATTTTTAATCACACATAATGAACCTCAATGCGTACACGAATCATTCAATCATATGTGTCATCAATATATTTACGCACTATGTAAAATAAGTGCTAATTGACATTATGTTGTACGGAATTTTTCGGATCGCTTAACGTGACAGGAGGAACGTACACACACACACACACACACACACACACACGTACGTATGTATGTATGTATGTATGTATGTATGTATGTATGTATGTATGTATATATGTAAGTATGTAAGAATTCATAAATTAACAAGTTCACGTACCTGCAAATCCTCGCTCTCGGTATGTCTGAGTTTCTCGAGGTACTCGTCTAAACCAAGCTTAGTAAATTCGTATTGCAGGTGAACCCTGAAATTCATATCCTCCACTGAATGGACGACGATATTTACGAACTGCATACAAGCGACCATGAATTCTATGTGAAAACTATCGTATTGGGTGAAGTATGCCATAAGCGTGGTGAATCGTCGTCGTTCCAAACAAACTTCTTTGAAGTTGTCGAATGCCGACAAAATAATCTCGTGGCCACCTTTTACCAGACAAATGGCAGCAAGAAGTTCCAACACTAGAGCTTTTGTTCTGAAATCATCACACACACACATATATATATATATTTTTTTTTTTTTATCAATTTTACAACAAAATTTGGAAGACACATATATTTACCTCAAACTCTTGTGCATTAGACTGAGCGCAATGCAATTTATTGCTTCACGATGCTGAATGACCATGTTAAATCCGTACTGCAAAATATTTAATAGTACTTGTAATACTACTATATTATTGTTAAAATTATAAACACTTATACTAGTATACGTATACCATTATTCTACTATTACAATTATAAGTATTATAATAGTAGTTATAATAGTACTTATAATGCTTATAATTATAAATTATATTATTGTTATAATTATAAACACTTATACTATTATACGTATAGCATTATTCTACTATTACAATTATAAGTATTATAATAGTAGTTACAGTACTTATAATGCTTATAATTATAAATTGTTATAAGTATAGTTAATAGTACTTATAACATACTATATAATACTTAATAGTACTTATATAATACTTGTATAATAATACTTATAATTATAGCTTGTAATACTTGTACAATAATACTTATAATTATAACAATAGTATTTATAATACCACTTATAATTTCTAACTCAATTAGAATATTAGCGACCTTTTTTGTTTTGTGTGACATTACATCATTAGAATTAAAATTTTGTGATTTCTCACAGACCTCGACGAAGCATCATCACTCACAATTTACAGAAAGAGGAGTGCTTTTGAATACAGAAGCAAAAAATAAGGAAAATCTGTTTGTTCGGAAACAAAAGATATAAGAAAGATATAAGAAAAATTTTAATCATAACATAACATCTTATAACGTAACATAATATGTTAATGTAACATAGTATCTTATTTAATTATATCATAGATTGAAGATAGAGTATTAGAGAGTTTACTATTTTAAACTTTACAATACAACATAATATAATATCTTAATTTTATTTAATATCTTAAGTTTATAACATAACATAATATCTTATAACATAACATAATATTTTATTTAATTATATCATAGATTGAAGATAGAGTATTAGAGTATTACTATTTTAATATATTACTATTTTATAACATAACATAATATCTTATAACATAACATAATATTTTATTTAATCATATCATAGATTGAAGATAGAGTGTTAGAGTAGTACTATTTTAAGCTTTAAACTTTTCTTCTATCTTTTCAAGGGAAGAAAAGAAAAAGATGCAAGAAAGATATAAGAAAGATGGGGGAATGAAATGAAAAGAAGTGGCAATCGGCAAGCTTCTTGTTGAGTCAAATATCACCCAATGTGTTCCCTGAACAAGTTCCACAGATAGCGCGGAAGTTTTGTACCTTGTTATTCATGATGGCACGCATGCACAGTATGCAAACGTGAATGTCATCTTTCGCCTCGCCCATGTTGAGACGCGCCACGTGCCGGGATCTCCTTTTAACGCCGGGACTATCTTTCAGCTCGTGTAGAGGCGGCCTCAGGCAACCGTTATTCAGAGGCGACGTGTCCCCGGAACCAACTGCAAAAAATAATTATCAGACTCGATTCTCACTCTCTTTCAGAAATCACGTCGCCGTGATGAAAAAAAAAGATAAATTGCCACGGGCCACGAGTTCGACCGGTGGTTATTATATTAATTATATTAAATTTTATTGATTTGTTAATTAAATAATAAATAATAATCTTAAATAAACATATAATAATAGTATATAATAGTAGTATATGTATATGTATATATATATA